ACAATAGAAACTCAGTGAAAGTGCTTGAGTTCAGCAAATAGTTAATATTTTGTGTGTCCCCCATTTGCTTTAATAGCTGCAGACAGTCTTTCAGGCATTGTTGCAATATATTTAATCAAAGTGTCAAAGTTAATAAGTTGTGTAGTTCAATAGTTATGAATTGGTGATTGTTATATTATTGTGTCATGTTACTAGAACATTCCAGACACTGATAGATACTATGATGCAATAGTACTCAATTAAAACACTGAGAAATATTCAGAACATTTGACGGCATGAACTGGACAGAGACAATTGGGATCTGAACAGGAATAAAGATGAGAATGGAAGGAAGATATACAGGGGTAAAAACACTATCACCCTATATGCTGCTGATGTTTTAGAAAGAAAAGCATGATCCAGATAGAGAAGGATACACAAGCAATGGAACAGAATGCAAGAAAAATTGATAACATACACATCAGAATGCTGACAATCACAGCTGAGAAGGAGGAGGAAATATGTTTTAAGGGACAGATGGTATAAGGAACAGGAAGCCAAAGGTTCAAAGGGAGGTAGGGTAAGGGCATGAAGAACAACATTAAGGACCCAAACAGGTAGGCTAGAAGAATGGGAAGAGCTGGATAGGAAAACAACAAATGGACATATCAGGAAAACCAGAAAGTAGTTGAGAGAGCCACCCACATGATATCCAACAATAGTGAAACAAACCAGCCCTGGTAATAAAGCCATGTGAAAAACACAGATAGAAGGGGCGCAGAAGAATGAGAAGGTGAGAAAGATCAATGCTGAGAACAGCAGGGATAAATAGCCACTTCTGCTGATAAACTGCTAAGGAGAATGGGCAAACAGGATGGAACAGGAAAAAGACTACCTTGGAGAGAGTCCTTACTGGATGTAAGAAACTGGATAAATCCTATGCATGAAGCCAGAGTGATGACATGGTTGGATGGAAGAAAAAAAAAGTACAAGGTTGAATTAGAAGGGAGTAGAAGAGGAGAGGAGGGAGTCAGAAGGCTTAGCAGAGAAAACCATGATTGGGCCAGCCAAGAGGGTGCCATCAGAAGGACCTGACAAGGAGTGATCCGGATGTAGGAGATAACTCAAGGGAGAAGAATACGGGTAGGTACAAATGAAGAGATTGGACGATTCCTGACTAAATGCATCCACTGCCAGTGCCAACATATGCAGAACAGAAGACTTCAATAGGGGAAACTTGGCATTGTCATAAGTTGTAAAGGCATCAATGTGAGGAGTGCCCAGACAAAAGCAAAACCATTGAAAAAACACGAGGATTTAGGAACCACTCTGGGAAAGAGATCCTGACAGAAATTCTAATATTGTGTAGAGTTCACAGTGAAAGATGCACGTGAGCATGACCAAAGGGGATAAGGCAGGGCTTGAAACTAGCGGGGACTCGAGAGCCAGTGGCCCCTTAAAATCAAAAGAGTCATTAAAAGTTTGACTCCACATAAGTTAATCAAAGAGTTTCTTAAGTGAGCAGAACTTATGACAATTCATGAATGGATCTTCCCAAATTTATGAACACTCACCAATCATGTACAATCCACAAACATCGTCACTATGAATGGCCATGTATTCATGTTATCACTTTGTCCAATGTTCAAATCACAAAATAGTAGCTTTTACTGTTGATAAAGACAGATACACTCCCCTATTAGTTATAGGTGCAACAGGCAGTCAATTACAACAATTACCCACCTTCATGATTCTTGTTTTTCAACCATTTGCTTTCTACTCAAAAAACCCAAAACATCTAGTTTTTCTCATTCATAAACAATCCAACCAATCAGCAATCTGGTTTTTCGAGCCACAACTAACTTTAAGGTTGGTTCTTGGAACTATGCATATTCATAAATAATGGGACTATCAAATGATGAAATGGAATGTTCCATAGCTGTCCAATAGGTTAGTTATTTTTTAAATATTTGTATATACCTGTTTACCAATTTCAACTTATGGTGACATCTCTGATAGTGACATGCACAATTAAACAATTGAAAAACCCTCCTATATAAAAATAATGGGATATTCCAAATTTCCAATTGCTCTGTTGTCATGCACTCTTTGGCAACCTTCCCAGACAATGAGCTAATACACAGTGCAGTACTACCGTATTTTCACATAAATAACCTGCTCCCTGGTATACCCTGCATCTGAGGAAAAAAGTGTTCTAAGAAACTTTCAGGCACATATTACCTGCACTTGTGTATACCCCACAAGCCAGCAATACAGAAGAATTTTGGAAGACAAGAAAAATTAAAGGATCCTTTTACATTACAGTAACATAATAAAACCATCATTAAACACAGATTCCCTGTAGTTATGTCATGTGATAAAGGCAATCACAGGTTAAAGGTTATGGTGATGCTTTGGGACACGCTAAAAGTGAAACCTCATTTTGAAATAAGTGAGCACTTAATTATGTCGCAATTGTAATCTATATAAATATTGATAAATACAGTTAAAAGTATTTGTATTTATACTTTGTCCTTTGACTAGAGAAATAACTGGGATTGCTAACAGATGCACTTATCAGATGATTGATGAATCGTTCCAAGTACTCAACAAGAACAACATAAAGGAATATTGGGAAGATAAAATTTCAGTCTTAAAAACAAACAAAAAATACCACATTACCCACATGAGTATATCCCGCAAGTTACTTGTGTGAAAATATGGTAACAAGAAGCCACATGGCATTATCATCCCAAGAACTTCAAGGGAAAAGTCCATGTATATCTCTAGCAATCACACTTTGTGTATTAGCTCTGTGCATAGGGTGTTGTTATCGACCATTTGCTAATGTAAGCATACTTACAAATCAGAAGATTGCTGTTGTGAATAAAGTGTTCTGGGTAGTGTTATTTTTAATTTCTCGGCAATTGGTTTTCCATGATCAGGAAATTCGACAAATTCTACCTATTCCGATTATTGGTAAAACACTGCAAGATATAAAATAATAACTAAATGAACACAAAATAATGATTTAAAAACAGGAATAATAATACAATTCTCATGATGATCTCTGATATATTTTCCATATCTATTTCATTAATTAATTTCACCAGACATAGCAAGAAAGGCCAGCCATTGGCTGCTATAATCTCTGGGGTTAAGGAGGAGCTACCTAACATCTGTGGCCTCTTTGACCTACTGCTGTTTATACCAACTAGCTCTGCTGAGGCAGAGAGAGGATTCTGCAAGATAAAGATGATCAAGACCAATTTGAAATCTTGTCTGGGAGCTGACAGGATCACATGCTCCACTTGCCTTCAGTAAGTGTTTTGATCCCATCTTTGGAACTCAGGATCACTTCACACAAGGAGACCAAATGCTGGTAGGGTCCTGAATAAGAAGCAGGTGCAAGAGAATGACGAAGAATCCAAGAAATGGATGTTCGGACATCACGAGACACTGACAATGATGCATACTAGATTTCCTTCATGATTTATTTTGATTATTAAAGGACGCTACTTTAAAGAATAACAAAAAGTTACTTTATACCATGCTTTAGAGAGAAATTAAAGATTATATGAAAAAAAAAATTAAATGGTTTGACTTGTTTTTGTCCCCCCCCCCCATGAAATACGAGTTCACAACAAAATAAATTAAAATATGTTGATATCTTTAGTTTTCTTTCAATTTATGCAACATCCACTATTTAATTCAGTGATTTTTTCTGATAACCTCCACTACAGAGTACATTTAACAATGAGCTATAGGATTGGCCCCTAAAAATGCATGCTTTGGGGACCAAGCTGGCTTCCTAAAAAAACGTTAAGTGTGAGCCCTGTTAGGAGTTTCAAGAAAGTACAAGAACCCAATTAAGAGAGAACTTTTTGCACAGGAAGGGAAGGAGAGGACAGAGCTGTAATAACCAAACCCTCCATGGTTCACAAATGCACGAAAGAAGGCTGTACTCTGATGAGATGGGAAGTGAAGAACAGACCCAAATGAATCGGATACTGGGTAAGTGTAAGATGAGACTTCTCCAGGTTGATTAGCCAACCTAAACTAGTCACCTCCTGA